TCCGGTGGTATCCGGGCGGTATCCGGCGGTATCCGGGTGGTATCCGGCGGTATCCGGGTGGTATCCGGTGGTATCCGGGCGGTATCCGGGCGGTATCCGTTGGTATCCGGGTGGTATCCGGTGGTATCCGGTCGTATCTGGGTGGTATCCGGTGGTATCTGGGTTTCCGATTTTGGATGTTTTGATTTTGTACCTTAGAGAGGTATTAACCTGTTCTTTGTTTGGCGGCATTCCGCCTATATGGCTGTTCTTTTGTGGCGGCGTTCCGCCTTTATGATTGTTCTTTAAGTTTGGCGGCATTCCGCTTATATATGTATATAAATAAATATAAATGACCGTTCTTTGATTGTTTGTTTGTTTGGCGGCATTCCGCCTTGTTGCGGTTTGTTCGTTTGGCGGCATTCCGCCCACATCACAACACGGACACACACACACATTTTGGCGGTATTCCGCCCACACACATACATTGATGCGGAATGCCGCACGCATAGAAACATTAGGCGGTAGTCATTTTTCTAAGGTTTTTGTTATGTTTTTTGAGAAAAATTATGTTTTGCAAGTTTTTTTGCACACAGTTTCATTTTTGCAAAGATTTCATCATCTTTCACGCTCAAACTAGTTACAGAAGTTAGTAACTTCCGCAACTTTACTTATAACTAAGTTATGATAAGTTCAATATAACTAACTTATAACTTTTTTAAGTGTGGTATCTTAAGTTATAAGTTCTTTAACTAGGGGGGCCCCATGGTGCAGCGATGGAAGCGCGGTCGAGTGCCGATTTCGTCGAAGGGGCTTTGAGGATGGCGCGCTCGTGCGAGGGTCCGATCGGTGACGCTTTTCAGGGGAACGAGCTGATGCTGGAACAGTTTTGGACTTTAGCCACCTCGGTCGAGAAGGCGTATTTCGAATCAACAGCTGTTCAGCTGGGGTTCGGACTTTGTGAGGCTGTTTCTGCCCCGCCAGGTCCGAGGCCGCTCGACTCTCTGAGAAAGAGAGCAGCGATCGCGAATCTTTCGAAACCAGCAATCTCCCAACCAAAGAAGTC